ACGGCTACACATGCACACGAACATGCTGGGTATTTTAGAATTAAAAAAAAAAGCCGAATTCATTTGTTTGTAGTTATTCCACACTGTGATAATTGATTTGCCAGGAATGGTGAAATGTTTTAAGAGCCAGGTCGCAAGTTTACAGTAAATGACCTTTGCAATAAAGGCATTATATATATATATATATATATATATATATATATATATATATATATATATATATATATATATATATATATAAAAAAAAAGGCTTAAACACTAATATTCCATGGTCAAAAGAAAGATTCCTGTTTTGATTAATTAATTCTTCCTGGAGGTTTTTGGTATCACATAATTGTTGGAACTTGTTCCAAAACTACCGAGAAGACCTCGAACTTTTACTTATCTTGATGGATTAGTGTTCTCTCAGGGGTGAGGCTCCTTGTCTTGATTGTCTATTGGGATTCAAGCTCTCCCTAGACCTCAAATGGAACTCATATACCCGATGTATTCCTAAAGATGATGGGAAAATGGTCGGGTGATTGTACCGCTCCAGCAAGTATGTGACTACCCCTGATATACAATATTTTTACAAGAGCCTGATCAGACCAAAAATGGAGTATTATTGCCATATCAAATTTACTGTATTTAAACTTCAATCTTCCATGAAACTCTCACGTACATTCTTGTCTGTTCATCAAATGTAAACAAATGACGTCACACATTATGAAATGGGCAAAGTCCGATAATTATTTTAAGACATTTTTAACATTCTATAAAACACACACAAACAAACAAATATATATATATATATATATATATATATATATATATATATATATATATAAGATTTTTTATGTTTAAGGTTCTTTTTATAGATACAAATATTTAAGTAAATGCTCTGTTTAAATAAACAGTATTATTAAGCAACATTTACCGGCCTGAATGTCCGAGAAATTTTCACAGAAAATATTAGAAAAAGTTTAAATACAGTAAATTAGACCTTGCTAACCGAACGCTCCTTCGTGGCCAAATCGGTAAAGGCACGTCAAGCTAAATTACGGTTCCGTATAGGATACAGGTCCGAATCCTGTCGGAGGATGAATATTTTCTGTGAAAATTTCTAGAACATTCAGGCCGGTAAATGTTGTTTAATACTGTTTATTATAAACAAAGCATTTACTTAAATATTTGTATCTATAAAAAGAACCTTAAACATAAAAATGCCTGAAAAATATATATATATATATACATATATATATGTATATATATTTATAGGATGTATAATACTATCCGAAATAAAAATGAAGATGATGGGACAAAGTTTAAAATCAAATATATGTGTGTGTGTGTGTGTAATCCTAAAATCAATCCCACACACTCCCACAAGCCATATATATATATATATATATATATATATATATATATATATATATATATATTAGAGCCATTTTTATTTAGTTTGTGGAGTTCGCTGTTTTTCCTGATATTATGTGTCGTTTAGGGATGCCATGTATTTTCTCATCATCTTAACACACACACACACACACACACACACATACATACATATGTATATATATATATATATATATATATATATATATATATATATATATATATATATATATTCCAGGTTTAACAGCAAAATTCTCCAAATCGTGTAACAGCATGCGATAATTGTCCACCCTTACAAAATGTTTAATATCTAAAATGCCCCTAGACTAATTCCGTCTCTTTTTCCCCTGGTTTTCAGATAATACGTTTAATTCTCTTGACACCATTTGTCGTAAGAATCACTGAAAAACCCTTTGAGATATACAGTCAGAGAGAGAACAGGTTAAAATCATTTTGTGTCAGTCTCACTATGTGTCCCCAAATGAGCAATATTGAGAGGAAAAAGATCATTCAGTACTTCAGTAATGGTACGAACATTCATACTCTGGCTTCCATCTTCAAGCTCCCATAGAACTGTGAATAAGTTTCAGAAAGAGAGTGCAGTAGAATGGAAAACTGGATCAGGTGGTTACAAGAGCAAGAAGGATCATCATTTCACCTAAGAGCTAAATACATTCTTATTCTTCAAAGTAGAGTCCAATAGTGTTATGAAAACCTCGGAGAATTCCAGTAAGATAACTTTGATCATTTCTAAGATACAACGTTTCATAGCTTAATCTAACAATTAGACAATTTTGCTGCTACACGATTGGGACAATTTTGCTGTTACATCCGTTATATATATATATATAGGTTTTGAGCAAATGCAGACGAAAACATTTTGACTCAGAAAATACTTTTTTATTTTTCAAAAGATTTTAAAAATGAAGCTTCAATAATCTTTCATTTTTGTTTAACCAGTTATCGTCAGTGTGTTCTAGATTCGTAATCGAGTTGGCACAAATCGCTCTAGAACACTCATTTTGCCTTTTCTAATCCGTTTCGATAGGAAGTATACGTTTTATTTGTTCTTGCCAACGTTTTGTGCATGGTCATGGATCTTGTCTTTTAGTCCCGTCACATATAGAATCGTTGGTGTTCTTTGAATTTATCTTAAAAGTGAAGTTTTCTTATGAAGATTTTATACAATTATTATTCTTCTGTCTCCCCTTCTTCATGAATCATCTCAGATTCCGCAACCTGCACATAAAGTGAGTAGTGTTCTAAAACCCTACAAGAAATTTAAGATGAATATATATAAAAAAAAGGTGAAAAAGCGGAAAAGGTTTTCGAGTGACGCGTTTCATCCTTTAGGACTTCGTCGGATTAAGTTTGTTTATATTGATGCGTCTGCACATGCGCGGGAACGAGAAACGCTGGGAATTTGAAATATAAAGATAATTTATTTATTTTTTTGAATATGTGATATTTGTATATAATATAGCCGATTTCATTTACATGCTTTTTGTTTTTGTTTGTCTCACTTTTGTTATTAAATATCCCAACACTGGGATAATAGATGGAACGTTGAAAGAACCTACGATGCAAATTTAAAGCTATGAAAGCACTTTCTAAACATTTTCGTTTTAGATTGAATCGTTTTCTCTTTTAATTAGACTAGCATTTTTTATGTCAAAATTGCGTTGAGTCTCGTTAAATGTGTTGTTTTGTAAAATATGTGGGAAGAAAAAGAAAAAAATCTAAAAAAATTGAATAAATATAAGAAAAAAATCATATATATTATATACTTATATATAATATATATATATATATATATATATATATATATATATATATATATATATATATAAACTATTTTCAATTTAAAACAAACAAAGCGTCTCTCGTTCATGCACATGTATAGTCCTGAATGACGAAACGCGTCACACGAAAACTTTTTACAATTTGTCATACATCGTTCCCCATACCGTTATCCTATATATATATATATATATATATATATATATATATATATATATAATTACATGAATCATTCATACAAAAAACAGATAGAGAGGTTAATGATTTAAATGGCGAGAATACATCTTCGCAAACAATTTCAATAAGTTACACTAACCCCGAACCTGTATATGAATGATATGATCCCTGTATATAAATTCCAGTTTCATAAGGTCTTTTTTAGTTTTTACAAGCTTTCGTCTGTTCATACAGACATCTTCAGGTATCGAAATAGATTTGTTCTTGTTTTTTACTTCTCGGTAATAAGAGGACAACGAAAATATAGATGTAATCCGAAAAAAATGCTATGAGAAATGTGTTATAATTCGGATAATAAGTGTGACATTCCTGTAATTATTGAACAATATAGTTCATGCCACGTTGACGGAAAACCTACCAGTACAAAAGAATTCTCTTATTACTATATTTGTACAAAAACGCACAACCTTAAAATTTAAAATTCAAACTCAGCGTTGCGACCGCACGTTCCTAAATAATAACACATAATAATAATAACAGGAACAAATCTATTTCCATTATTATTTTCTGTCATTTCTAGGTTACAACAGTGACAAAAATAAAGAAAAAAAGTCATATTAAAATTCTTAGATAATGCATATTTGTTAAATATCGAAATTTATATCCAATAATTATGCTTTGTCGAATTATGACATTAGACTTGGATTGTTTTCCCGATTGCCAGAGTTCAAAATCGTTTATGCGGTCTTGTGGGTGATGACATATTTTCCACTCTGCAACCTCTTTCTCCAGAGGATTGGGTCTTAGTGGTATTATTGTCTTGCTTGAGGGTGAACTGATTTTTAAAAAGGAACCTTTAATCAAAATGATGTTGATTTTTGATGTCTCTCAGCGATACCCAAAGTAGATTGTCACAACCAGAGCACCAGAGAAGTCAGATGCATCAAAGGGTTGATCGGTAAGTTGACCTCATAGACACCAAGTGCATATTCGCTTGTCAGTGTCAGCCTTACAGTATCATGCTGATATTAGTTGACGAAGTCCAGGCGTAAATATACAATCATTTTACGCGTGAAACATTTAGTCTCGTGTTCTTATTCTTCTATACAACGATAACTACTTAATATTTCTTTCTTTCACCTCACGATAATGCCTTTGGAAAAGGCCACGAATATGTCTGCCTCATCATATGGGTTAAATAGGAGGGCAGATTAGGCTCTCTTACCAAAGGCAAAGTGATTAAAAAAAGCATTCTTACCCATGACTTACCACTGCTGCTATGGCTGCAATACGTATGTTGCTCCAATGACTATAATGGTTTACTGGACTCCTAACGTGGAGTGACGACTTAGTAATAACTCACTTCTCATAACATTTTAAAACATATTGGAAATTAATTTTTAGAATCTTTTAATAATAGGATAATAACTTTGAAGAATATTTGTGCAGGCCATAATAAAGTTTTAACTTACTTCTCAGAACACTTATTCCGCAAATATTTCGTAAAACACGTCATGCATAATCTAAATGCTATTTCTCTGTAAGAATGAAAATAATAATTAAAAATAAAATTAAAATATTAATAATAATAATTATTATTATAATTATAATAAGAATGATTTAATATATTTAAAAATTCATGAGGAAAACTAAAGTTTATTAAAAAATAAACGCATAAAAGAACAATTGTAAAAGATGAAAAACAAAAATTGTTGATATTTAAAAATAAGGAAAAACAAAAAGAAGAAAACCTGAAAATGAAAAACAGAAGAAAAAAGGAAAAGAAAAGAAAAGAAAAAGAAAAAGAAAAAGAAGAAAATTTGAAAATGAAAAACAGAATTAAAAAACAAGAGGAAAATCCGAAAATGAAAAATGAAAACAAAAAAAAAAGAAAATGTGAAAATGAATAACAGAAGTAAAAACAAAAAGAAGAAAGTCTGAAAATGAAAAATGACAAGAAAAGTAAAAGAAGAAATCTGATATATGAAAAACGGAAGTAAATAAAGAAGAATATCTGAAAATAAAAAGCAAATGTAAAAAGAAAAAGAAGAAAATCTGAAAATGAAAAACGGGAGTAAAAAGAAAAAGAAGGAAGTCGGAAAATGAAAGAAGAAGAAAAAGAAAATGTAAAATTGAATAACAGAAGGAAAAAGTAAAAAAAGAAAATCTGAAAATGAAAAACAAAAGTAAAAAGTAAAAGAAAAATGTCTGAAAATGAAAAATAAAAAAAAAAAAAAAAATAAAAATGAAAATCTTTTGGTTTCAAAAAAAAAAAAATAAAAAAATCTTAAAATGCAAAACAAAAATAAAAAAAGAAGAAAGTCTGAAAATGAAAAAAGAAGAGAAAACAAAAAGAATAACGTCTGAAAATGAAAAATGAAGAAAAAAGAAAAGGAAGAAAATCTGAAAATGAAAAACAGTAAGAAAAAGAAAGACAAGAAAATCTGAAAATGAAAACAGAAAAAAAAATTTCTTTTTTTTTGAAAGTCTTTTAAATGAAATAAGAAAAAATTTCTATTTTAAAATATCTTAAAATGATAAAAGAAGAAAAAAGAAAAAAAAAGAAAATATGGCGATGAAAAACAGAAGTAAAAAGATAAAAAAAAAAATCTGGAAATGAAAAAAAACAGAAGTAAAAAGAAAAAGAAGAAATCTGAAAATGAAAAAAAGGAAAATTTGAAAATGAAAAACAGAAGTAAAAAGAAAGTCTGAAAATGAAAAAGAAGAAAAAGAAGGAAATCTGAAAATGAAAAAGAACAAAAAACGAAAAGAAAGTCTGAAAATTTAAAAAAGAAGAAAATTAAAAAACAGAAGTAAAAAGATAAAGAAAAATGTTTCTAAATGAAAAAAAGAATAAAGAAAAAGAAGAAAATCTGCAAATGAAAAAAAAAAAGAAAAAAAAATGGAAGAAATTCTGAAACTAAAAAAAAGAAAGGCGAAGACGAAAAAAGCAAAAATACAAAACAAATTACATAAAGAAAACACAAAAACGAAATAAAATAAAATATCGAATAAACAAACATTTTTGTATATTTTGCTTTTTAAGCTCAACGCTTAAAAAGCAAAATATACAAAAATACAAAACCAAACAAGAAAAAACATCAAATCACAACAAATGAAAAACAAAATACAGAAAATGAAATAGAAATTTAAAAATGGAAAAAATGAAATGCAAAAACATAAAAAAAAACACAAGAAAGAAAATGCAAAGAAGAAAAAAGAAACAGTACATATAGGAAAAAAACTGTACAAAAAATTAAAAAATATATATCAATAATCTTGGTATTTATCAGGTCATCTGTCCGAATTTTGAATAAAGAAAACAAGTGACCAAATGTTACATTTAATTACAGATTCAATCAACAATGTATTTTCCCTGATTATCTATGACTTGCTTCCATCTAGTAACAAGCTTACTAATTCCATTACTGTAAAATTCTTTTGGCTTTGATTCGAAGAACTCACAAATGTCAGTTTTAACCTCTTCCTGTGTTACAAAAGCTGTTTCTTCCAAAATTATTCTATAAGCTACGAAACAAATGGTAGTCTGAAGGAGCAAGATCGGGAGAATAAGGTGGATGAGGAATTTTCTCCCAACCAAGTTCTTCGATCTTTTGTGATGTGATTCTTGCTGTGTGGGGTCGCGCATTGTCCTGATGAAACATCACCTCTTTTCGATTCTCTAGAGCAGGTCTTTTTTTCCTCAAAGCTTGGTTCAAACGCTCTAATTGCTGACAGCATATTTGAGCATTAATTGTTGCATTAAGGGGTAAGAATTCATCAGATTGAAAGAAGAACCTTTTGCCCATGAAGTTTCCTTCTCGACTGTGGCTGGGGTCCTTTCCCTTTACCAAGCCACTGTCTACAACGCTTAACATTTCGATAAAAGATCCATTTTTCGTCGCCAGTCAAGTGTCTAACCAAAAAAGTTGAAACAATTTGGCGAGAATGGAGAGAAGAGCAGATGTCAACTCGGGATTTGAGGTTGTTTTCAGACAATTCATGAGGCACCCATTTTCCAAGTTTAGGAACTTTTCCAAGTTGTTGAAGATGATGATGAACAGTTGTATGGTTTGAACTGAGAACCACTCCCAATTCCTCAACTGATAAAGCAGGATTTTCTTCAAGGGCTGCTTCAAGAAGCTTTTCATCAAACTCAACTGGACGTCCGGTTCGATCTTTCATCTTCATGGGTGAAATCTCCACCTCTGAATTTTGCAAACCATCTTCTTCAAGTTCTTTCATTCACATTCCTCTCCATAAACTGAGTGAATGTTTCTAGCTGCTTCGGCTGCTGAGTTTCCTTTCTTGAACTCATAAAGCATTATGTGCCTCAAATGATTCTTGGGTACTTCCATTTTAGCAGGGTTTTAATCAAACAAAATTTAATTTTATTGTTCTCTGAAATAAAATTTGATCAGTTTAAATGCATCTAAACATAAAAATAATGTTCAGCTCCATTAGACATTATAAAATACTCTTTAAATTTCGTTCATTTTAACAAAAAAATCGGACAGAACGTATGGGATGACCTGATACAAAGATACAGCAGAAAACTTATTGGTGGAAATGGAGAAATACTGGATACTTTTTATCTTTCGACCAGTCACTCTTTCCATTTGCATAGAAAATCATGTCTGACTGTTAAGAATACGAAAAAGAAAGTCCGCTTGATGAAAGACATAACGATGCAAACAATTTGAAGATGAACTAAGAAAAATAAATAAAAAATGCCGGCATCTATTTCGAGAACGGAAGACGTCTGATATTTTAGATATTTTAGAGGACTAGAGGCTTAGTGTGCTTTTAATAAATGAAATGTCATGTTGAGACCGATTCGTAAAACACCAGCGGCAGGATTAGAGGCAAATAATACTTAGGGATCGACTGGCAGTTTGAGAAGAGATTTGATTTGATCTTCAGCGACAACTAGGTATCAACCAGTGATACCTTATGTGAACGTGTACAAAAATAATAATTATAAAATTCTAAAAATTTCTTAAGATCGAAAAGAAAAGAGCTGAAATATGCGATTAAATATAAAAAGCAATCCTGTGATCAAAATCTCTAATCAAATAACTAGAAAATCCGTGATCAAATATGTGATCAAATATCAAGAAAATTTATGGTCAACTCTGAAGTCAAATAACTTGAAAACTCGTGATCAGATCTGTGATCAAATATTAAGAAAATTCATTATCAAATCTGTAATGAAATAATTAGAAAATCCGTGATCAAATCTGTTACCAAAATTAGATAACTGAATGTCTCTTGTAGATGTGGAATAATTTTAATCAACACTGGTGACCTTGTTGATTCTATTATACAGAACTGACTAAATAAAGAATAATCATAAACTAGCGAAAAAATGACAAAAACAAAAATGACAAAATGGTGACACAGAGAAAGTATAATGTTATTTTTTATTCGGTCAAGCTTGCTCGGACATTTATGAGTCACGGCACACACACGGTCCTACATCAATACCGGAAGGTCATTAGGGGGGCATTCTGTTTCATAACATAGTTGGTCAATGTGGGTAGCTGATGGACGAGCAACCCGTTTTTGCTCCATGGCTAGGTGTCTAGTAGATCAGTCGTAAGTGTGTCTAGAGAAGTAGATCACTGATAGTGTCCTACAAAGCGCATTCTGCGTTCGCGTACGATTGTAGAAATATAAGGGATGGGTCCATACAGCTGTAATTTAGCTGGATGTTGTCTCCAAGTGATGTTAAATATAGCTCTTAGGAACTGACTGTAGTTTCCATCAAGCTTAGAATTTAGGGTTTTAGCTAATGTCCAAGCAGTGGCACCATACATTAAAACCTCCTCGACAGTGACTCGAAAGAATCTCTGTTTGATGTTGTCTGGTAGACGATATTTCAAGATTACATCCATTTTATTCGTTGTTTGGTAGTCGATATTTCAAGATTACATCCATTTTATTCGTTGTTTGGTAGACGATATTTCAAGATTACATCCATTTTTTTCGTTGTTCTGTATTTGATATTTCAAAATTAACCTATAATGATATTTCAAATTGTTTGGTAAAACGATATTTCAATATTTTAACTTTTTATTCGTTGTGACTGATTTAGAGATAAATTTATTTTTGCATTACATCATTTTTTAGTTTTTGGTAGTCGATAGGAAAAATGATTAAAAATTGCAAAAAGGCTTAAAAGACTTTTAAAATGCGAATTTTCATAACCCTTTGGAACTGGTGAAGGTAAAGAAAAAATAAAAACTTTTAAAATATTCTTAGAAAAAAACTTAAAATTTTCGAACGAAATGACTGTGGTATGATTGTACAAATGGTACATGTAAAAAGAAGTACACCGATTTATTTGAATGAAATGCATCAAAGTAGAATAGACACAAAAATATCTTTCATGTGCAGAGACAAGCATGAAAAACTGTTATTCATATGATAAAGGAATGTAGTAAATTAACTCGAAAAGTGTGTTAATATATACATGAATGGATATGAACAGTAATCCATCGGGAACAGTGTAAATGATATGTATTTGACAATAGAGAAAATAACTAAGAGTAAATAAGAAAGTTCTGGAGAATAAAAACGTAAAATTCTTCGGAATTTTCAAATTTAAACGCGTCGTGTTACAATCCCTGGCAAATTAATATGTAATTTGAACACGTAGAATGTATTCACTGATGTTTTTTAAAATAGCCATAAATAAACTAATGACAGATGAGACGCCAAACATTTTTATTTAATAGCTGAACATTCTGGCTTCATAAAATACGAGGTCGTATAAAAAATATCGGTACAACTGATATAAAAAGAAAACTACAAAACATACAAATTCGGCATTTAATCTCCTTCGAATTAGTCCCCGTCTGGAGCCAAACACTTTATCTGGCGTTGATTCCATTGATGGAAGCATTCCTGGAACTCCTTTCTTGGATTTGAAATTGTTGTAACCTCGGGAAGGTTACTGAATAGAATAATCAAACGAAGGTTGATAATGAACGATAATACTTAGGACAAGAATAACACATATAAGATTCGCCAGCGGTCAGTAGAAAAGTAATAATCAACTGCTAGAAGTGAGTCAAGTGAATTCGACAATGAATCTCCAACTTCAGGATATCTGAAACCAAAAATGCCCCACGCGGTCGGATGTGGCAAAAGGCCGAATTTAATCTGTAGGTATCCGAACTCGTAACCATTCGGCCAAAAAACTACCCGACACCCTTTATAAAAAGGGGTCGGGTAGCTCTTTCCCGAGACGAGACTCTGCCCTTCGAGATAACCTCATCTGGAGATCCTCTCTGTCTCCAAGCAGAGAGTTTGACTAGCACAGCTGGAGACGAATCTCCGACTGCAGACCAACATACAGTATTTTTATTGTATTTCTGTAGGTATGTTAAAAAAAAATCTTTGTTCCTTTTCAGAATTTGATTTTTGGAAGCAAAAATTTGTCGAACAGGGGCAAGATCTGGGGATATATGGAAGTTTTTTCATTGGGGTAATATTGTATTTGGCAAAAAGCATTTTCTGAATAAGTCATGTTGGTTCTGATGTACAAATCTATGGAATATTGAGACGACAACATTCTGACCACACTTTCCTCCCAAGTTAATGCTATTTGCAATTAATTTACGATAAAAGAATAAATTACGTCTTTTAGTGTGCATTGCGCGACATAATTGGCCATATCTGTTATTCAATTGAATCCTTTCACTTTGCGTACTTCAGTTCCGTTACAGCCACACATACATTACAAAATTAAGACTTTTTTAAATTTATAATTTAAGTTTGTATATTATATATTTAAATTAGGACCATTTACATCATCGTTTCTCATACTTTCAAACTAAAAGATTTAAAATAATATAATTCATAAAAATGCAATATCTCTAGTGTATGTCATTTCGCCGAAGTCATTGTAAAGTGTTTTTTTTTTCATAGCGTTAAACATGTCGGATTTCGTGCCAAAGAAAGTGTATTTGCGGGGAATTTTACTGCACTACTTTATTCAAAAGAAATCTGCAGCTGAAGCACACAGAATTCTTGTTGAGACTTACGGCGACCATGCTCTGTCGGAAACAACATGCAGAGATTGGTTTAGACGCTTCAAAAATAATGATTTTGATGTTGAAGATAAAGAACGCTCTGGCGCACCGAAAAAGTTTGAAGACGAAGAATTGGAGGCATTACTTCATGAAGACTCATGTCAGGCGCAAGCTGAACTTGCAGAATCATTAG